TTCTTTTTTTTGTGAGTGGGGGTGGCTGAGAGGGTTGAAAGCCCAAATTCCTTCTCATGGACTCCCTGAGATTTAATGCATTAATAATAACAGTGATTTTTTTTTCTTTTTAATATCATGGGAGTTTATCCAGTAGATAAAATGGAGAAAATGACAAATGACTGTCTTTTTAAAAATTGTTATTTATTATATTATTATTACTTATTGTTATAGAAGAAAAAGTTTAAAAACAGGTTTTTAAATTGTAAAAAATTACAATGAAGTAATAATGAACTGCAAATGTGAACTGCAAAAAACAATGTGTTTTGTTTTAGATATACACTGAAATATGTGGGTTTTATTTGTTTTCTCAGCCTGGGGAATGTAAGATTGGCATCATGCCAGGCCACATTCACAAGAAAGGAAGAATCGGTGAGTGGTGATGTGTCTAAGGTCACACAGGCAAAAGCTTTAAACATTAAGCTTAATTGAATATAACTTTAAAATGCCAAAAGTTAATGTATTTAAGAATGTGTGAAATCTAGAGAGCTTACATGGTATTATATGCCCTCACTGGCTACTTTAAATGGGCACACCTTGCCAGTATCAGGTTGGACTCCCTTTCAACTTCAGAACCTTCTTAATTTTTCATGGCACAAATTTAACAAGATGCTGGAAACATTTCTTAGAGATTCGACTGCTGTAACAGAAGTCAAGACTTCTCAGACCAGTCAACCTTTTTTCCCCAGTCTTCTGTGGTCCAGTGCAAATTGTCACCACAGTTTCCTTTTTTCTGTTCATGAGTGGTATCTGCTGCTGCTGTAGCCCTTTTGCCTTCAACGTTTGAAGAGTTGTGTAAGAGATACTCTTCTGCATACCTTGGTTGTAACGAGTGGTAATTTGAGTTACTGTTGCCTTCCTATTAACCTAAAGCAGTCTGGCCATTCTCCACTGGCATGAACAAAGCATTTTCACCTGGAGACCTGCCTGTCATTGGATATTCTCTCTTTTTTACACCATTCTTTGTAAGCCCTAAAGATGGGAATCCCAGCAGATCAACAGCTTTTTTTTTTCTTTCTTTTTTAAAAAAAATACTCAGATCAGTACATCAGGCAATTTAAAAACCATGGATCGCTCAGATACTTAAAATCACCTTTCTTTTCTCATTCTAATGACTGAGTTGCTGCCGTGTGATTGGCTCACTAGATATTTGTGCTAACTAGTAGTTGAACAGGGACACTCAATAAAGGGGTCAAAATTCAAAATGAATAACACTCACCTGTTGGATCAGGCTTCTCCAACCACAGTCATTAAATGGCTGAAGAAAAACACGCTGCCTTTCTTTCCAGGTTGAAAATTGTTTCCTTTTTTAAATTTTTAATTTTTAAACACAGCACTATTTAGATCTTACATCGAGCTCCTGCTGTTGACAGCTTGACGTGCAGCATGTGCTGCCGGCTAGTGAACCTTTACAGGAAGTCTGTTATATATGTAGTAAATCGCCTGCCATTTATTATTATTTTTATTTTTTATTTTTATTTTTTTAACCGCAGCATAGAGGGAGCAGCTGTTATGATGGTGATCCGTTGTGTATTTTATGTCTTGGTGAAAAGATCCTGACAAAAAAATGGCAGCTGCATTTTATTTTATTATATCACCTTTGACCAATATTTCTTTTAATCATGTTTAACTGTAAGCAAAGAAACCTAAGAAGTTCTTTCTTTCAGGCATTGTTTCTAGATCGGGTACCCTGACATATGAAGCTGTGCATCAAACTACGCAAGTAGGCCTGGGCCAGTCACTCTGTGTTGGTAAGCTACCAATGACTTTTGGCATATTAAGTTTAAACTGAACACGCAGTGCTGCTGAATGTATTTTTATATCTGTGCAACATAAAACAAGCTTTTAACTGCTCGAAGTAGATGCCAGGGAGATTTTGTAGGCATGAACAGAGAGAATTTTATATTAGTATGTGCTGCATTTGGTTTGAAGACATGCTGGTCACTTATTACCAAGCACTCAACATCACATCCTTATATTTAATTTAAACCTCACTGTGAATGTTGGCAGGACCTTAGACGTGATAAGATATTAGACTTTCATCTTTAATAATTACTCCAGAGATTAAAAAAAAAAAAGAATATTTTACAGGACTCGGTAGAAATAGGAAGGTGATCTTCCAAGTTCACCTTGCTCTAAAACTCATCAGATGCTAATACATTTCAGCAAATAGCTCAGACGTTTTCTAATAAAAAGGCACTTTTCTGATCAGTGCTCAGAATATTCCTCTCAGATCTGAGCATTAAAGGTGCTGCTATCTTTGAAGAGCCCTATTGAGATCGGACAGATCCATTGAGTGGCTGAGATGGATGTAGAAACTTACTTTCAAAAGTCTTTGTCCTGAAAATCTTAAGGATAGTGTTTTTCATCTCACTCACTCATCTATAGCCGTACATAAAATGTGATTGCGTACCATATATCTTAAATATATCCTTTTTTTTCCTCTTAAATTCATGCTTCTTTTGTTTTTTTAGGTACATCTCAAAAAAGACAATACTAGCTTTTACACATTCTGTAAAATAATGACACATTTATTACAAATGTAGCTGGTAAATAAAAGCAGATAAAGGATTGCAGGTAATATCATATTTTCTGCATATCTCACATGTTTATAGATGTGGGACTTTCCATTAACCCACCCATCTGTTTATTACCCTACTTTCTCTGCAGTGTCTCATAGCCTTGTTTTAATAATTCATTGATTTACAGCATGGATTAACAACACATGCTGCTTGATAGCACAACCTGTGACATTTTCCCAAACTCTGTTTCCCGCTGTTTAAAAACCCAGTGTATTCATTCGTCAATTTTGTATCGCTCCCTATTGTTATTCACAGTATGAGCATCAGCATGTTTGCTTTCTAGGAGGCAGCTCAGAATATCTGTTTAGATTTTATTAGAACATCTTGACATTCAGTAACGACACAATCACATCCAGCTCTGTTACATCTTGGCAAAACATCAAAAGATTAACTGTTTTACAAAAGCAAATTCTTTTGGCCAACTTGTGTGCCACCAGAAAATCCATATCAAAGAGCTACTTGGACTCTGGAATTAAATGAAAAACAACTTGGCTTCATCATTATTTAGACATTTTAATTATGGAGTGTCCTCTAGCCAGACTTCATAAAGCTAGTCCCGCAACAGTATTAAATATTGTAGAGTTCATTAAACGGAGTTTATTGGTGGGTCTGCTCGTGACTTCTGAAGTTTGAGTATGACCTAGGGGCTACAACAAATTACAGTTAATGCAATATTTAATATCACTGTCATCTTTGTTGCTGTTAATGTGGGTGCGCTTTGATTAGTATGCATGTAATTTTTTTTTCTTGGTGTTGCCAGGTTTTCTAATGGTGCGAATATAAATTAAGAAGACATTGAGTCTGTGGAGATTTGTCTTGTGGATATTTGCCCATGCTTTTGTAGATCCTGATGGAAAGTCTTGTTAAAAATGATTATTGCACCCTTGTGGTTTTCAAAAGCTTTGTAATTTTTGTTTCCTGGATATGAAACAAAAGACATTAAAGTACCACGCAGAGATGTAGATGATTTGGGACAATTGAGGTAAAACTGAAAAATGATTGAGAATGTTTGGTTTTTTTGACTCTGTCCAGTTGAACTTTTTTTTTTTTCTCCCCTAACAAAATGTCTCAGAAATGACTCTGCAGTTATTTTTGATTTTATAGAGCTTTACAGCGTTTCCAGCTCATTGCTTTAGCTCTCTGTCACTGGTCAGCACTGGCATTGCAAGTAGTAGGACATTTAAAGGATCTGTGTCCAATGTTTATTTGTTGTGCAGAGTCAATTTTGCCCTGCTGAAATGCTAAACTAGAGCTTAAAAGTCACTTGATATACAGTATATTGTACATCATTTGCTAATCAAGGCACTGCTCAATGAAAATGAGACCAGATTTACAGGGAAATAAAATAGTTAATATTAATTATTATGTGAAACAGTACGGGCAAAGCATCCCCAGATTATCTTGGTAGTGGTTATCGGATGTTGTTGACATGAAGCTGGCTTCCAGCGGCTGCTTATTTGATGAAGCCTGAACAGCCATGTGATCCTCCTTCACAGGCATTATCATTATCAAGTGTTTGCTTTGTCTCCTGCAAGGTATTGGCGGGGATCCATTTAATGGCACAAACTTCATAGACTGTCTGGAGGTGTTCCTGCAGGATCCCAAGACGGAGGGCATTATTCTTATTGGAGAAATTGGAGGAAATGCAGAGGAGAATGCAGCAGAGTACCTGAAACAGCACAACTCTGTAAGGAAATGACACACTGGACACCCATAATCTCACTTCACTCTCCTGCTAATATCCCCTCACACAGCGCTTCACCTTAACACATATATCTGTTCTTATAAAAAATGTATCCTTTTCTGAATTAGCTCTCAGTTATGCCCTTTCAAAATATGTCAGCTCAAGTGAAGACTGGAAGCCATCATATGAGCTATGAGCGTGATCGTATCTTCAGGCTGGCTTTCTTACTTCTCTGTGTCAGTGTGATTTGTGTGATCAAGATAAGCTGACAGATGGGATGAAGGTATGATTCACAGGACATGTTCTGAAATCAGCAGTGCTGATGAACAGTGAACCTTTTGT